CAAAAACAAAAAAAAAAAAAAAAAAAAGACTCTTTGGGCTATAAAGCCAATTTCTCAACCTCACCACTATTGACACTTTTTTTTTTTTGGTACCCGGGATCGAACTCAGGACCTTGAGCTTGTGAAGCAGGCAGCAGAGCCTCTGAGCTAAATCCCCGGCCCAGCACTATTGACTCTTGATATTAATGGCATCCCTGACGTCTGTGGGGCTCACTGCCATCCCCACATGGTAGACATGTCGCTACAGAGTCCACATCACACCCCACTGAGAAAGCCCTGCTTCAAGGGCTGGACAGGGAGGCAGAGGAAAAATAAAGATGTGGAGGAGAGCAGGATGACCCCCAGGTGGGACACCAGCCACCTCCGGAGCCGTCTGCCAGCCCCTCGGGACACTGGTGGTTGTATCATGCTGTGGGGCTTCCAGGGACATTGGCCTGGGGCTCACACCGGTGGGAGCCCTGTGCTTGCTTTCCTGCGGGGCAGGCGAGAGGCCTGTGTGGCATGTGACGTTGCATGTGCCGGGAGGTAGATCTGGCCGAGGGTGCGGTGGAGGTGGCTCGTAGGGACTCAGTACTGGCTGTGTTTGTCTCCTGCGATGCCGTAACAAATGCCTGGAGATCGGCAGCTAGAACAGCGCAAGCTTCTTCTCCGATAGTCCTGAGGGTCCATCATTCACAACCGCGGCCCCTCCAGGGGCTCCAGGAGAGCATTCTTTGGCTCTTGCAGCCTCTGGAGCCTCTGCGTCACTCCCACCTCTGTGGTCACGTCGCCCCTCCTCTGTTGTGCCTGTCCTCTCCCCTTCTGATAAAGACAGTCATTCTGCGGGGGGCCCGTGCTGAGCCTAGGACTATCTCAGCTTGATCACATCTGCAAAGAACCTGCTTTGAAATAACAGCGCATTCACAGATCCCAGGGGCGAGGGCTGGCACATCTGCCTTAGGGACGTTGTGTAACCTCTGGACCCCTCCTTGGGGGGCAGGGTTTGACATCATCCTGAGCCCCTCGGCTGGGAGATGATCCGTGGCCAGGACAGGCGGGGCACATGGGTTGCAGAGCCTGGCGAGCTTCCTAGCAGGCAGGATGTGTGCGGAAGCCCTGGGTCTCGCCCAGGTATCGGTTCTGGTTCTGCAGGTGTGGGGTCCCGGACTGACCCCTGAGGTATTAGGAGCACGGGTGAGGCCTGTCCCCAGCGCTCAGCAGAAGTGTCCGCAGAGGAGTCCCCCACCCAACATCCACAGAAGCTTCCCATCCACTGTTGACCCCAGAGGTAACCCAGACGGAGGTGCCAGTGCCAGCTCCAAGGGGCCAAGAGCCCAGAAATGGCCAAGTGACAAGTCCCGGAGAGAAGTCCCGGATGCCTTAGAGAGAGGCCCCAGCAGACAGGAAAGGGCTGCTTGCTCTGACCCACTGGTGACATTCAGTGGTGACTGTTCTGAGGGGTTAGGGCCTGGGGTAGCACCACGCCATGGAAATGGCAGGAAGGGAAGGTCTGCAGGAGGGGACCAGGCTGAAAAGTCTCAGCGTCACCTTCTCCTCCGCCTCTCTCTGTCCCTCCCTCCCTCTCTTCTCCCCTTCTCCTCCCTTCCTTTCTCTCTGGCTCTCTTCCTCCCCTCTCTGTTCTCCCCCGACTTCTCTATCTCTGGCATTTTCTCTGACTCTCCCTCCCCACTTTCTCTCCCTGTGGGGTCAGTCGGCATCTGGGGTCCCCGGGAGGGACAGGAGTAGTTTGTGGCCAACATGTTTTCTCACAATAAAAACCCATTAGTGTTTTTGAAGTCCAGCCTCAAAGCCTGCTGGGCGTTATTTATGTCTGTGGGGTCACTGCGGAGGACACCCGGCACTGAAATCCAGCTGGGTGGCCGGGCCCCACGCTGCCCTGACAGTGAACTTCACCCTGGCTTGGCGGAGGTTGCTAGGGCCGTGGACTCAGGACCTTGTCACAGGTGGCTCTGCCCTCGCGCTGTGGTCCGGGCTCTCTGGGGCCCGGCTGGCACTGGCCTCTCGAGCATCTTTGAGGATGCTGCACTTGAAAAGCAGGCAAGAAGCAGCGCTGC